GGGGGGGGGGTGTGGAAGGTTGGTAGCTAGCACTGGTGAATGGGGAACAAGTTCACAGTCTGGTTCTTGGACCCTTAGAACAAGAGAGGAAGGGGAGTGTGTGTGTGTCCTCCGCCGGACCATCTCCTGTGGCAGACTTGCCAAGCAGCGACTTGAGAGACTTCACGAATGGAAGTCAGAGACCCGCAACTGCAGCCACCCCGCAGACATTTCTTAAAGGGGAGGGTAGTGCGCTTTTCCAGTGCATTCTGGTAGCTGTTTGCTTCTCTTGCTTTTATTTTAATTTCCGTAATTGGTAGCTTCAGAAATGGCTTTGAAAGACAATTTGCTTTAAACGTGGCCACCTCTTTCAAAATGCCCCGGTTAATTTAGGAACCCTACCCTTTTCCTCCGGAGCTCTTTCGCAGGAGTTCTTCTCTTGGACGGGTCCAGGAGGTAGGGTCCTTCCTCCGTCGGCTTGCAGGGGTCACATTTTCTGTGCGGGGTTGTCCCCAGCGTTTGTGAGCAGCATATGCATGCGGTTGTGCTGACTGCACTCGCAGGCTTGTAAATTTTCACCCTGGGAAATTAGCAACAAAGCCCGATCTGTCTCGTAGCTGCTTTGCACTTTCTGAGGGCGGCTGTACTTGACTGCGCTGCAGAACAGGCACACGAGAGCGAGCGAGCGAGCGAGCGAGGGAGGGAGGGAGAGAAGGAAGGGAGAGAAGAGGGGAGGGGTGGGGGCGAGAGGTAAATAGTCTTAAATCGGAAGGGAGCTGCTTCTCTGTGGTCTTGACAAGCGCTGCCTGGGCTCCGCCGGCTCAGTAATAACTGAGTGACCTTTTCTTTGGCTGTATTATGTCTGGCTGGGAAGGGATTGCATTTTGCAGCAGAGAGCCGGGGCTTCCTTCAGCTCGTACGCTGCTGGGGTAAGTTGTCTTGAGCCAGGACGGAGAGAGACAGCCTCGGACTGCAGTTGCCTAAAAGGAGGACACCTGTGGCTCAGATGCGGTCAACACCAGTACTTGGCGGATCCTTGAGGACCTCATTATTTTAAACTTTAAAAAAGAGAGAGAGAAAGAGATTCCCTCCCCCGTCTTTTTTTTTTTTTTTTTTT